TGTGCTTGGAAATCCAATTGGCCATTCTAACCAAGGTTAGAGGGAAAGCCCCATTTCAAAAGAGTCTCAAATTAGTTGGGATTTCTTGGGCTTTTCAAGCCACCTACCTAGGTTAATGTAGGGAAAACCTCTATCTTGATTTAAACAACTAGGGTAATCGCGATTAAGCCGTCCAACCATTGGTTTGAGGGAGAGAGTAAGTCAACCCTCAATTGCCTTAACCAAAAGGGCTACTTTAGTAGTCTATAATTTTTCCCTTGGTTTGGATTTTGAGAGTGTGGTCTTAGACCATAGTTGCACTTCCTAGCAGTTCGTGATTGCCTTGCCCATAACGGTCCATTCGATTCCATGTGCTATGGTAGTAGTTAGGGGGAAGCGACACCCGAGTGATCCTTCTCATCTAGAGCTTTCAAACCATTTACCTTTGATTTGTTTTTTTCAACCGAATACCATTCCGCTAGATAATGTTTCAAACAATTGAAGTAGGGGTACATTGACCGGCCCAGGTTGGTATTTAAACATACTTGCCCTGTATCGCACCCATCTAAGGTTTATACTTGGGCCTTAGGTGGGATTTTATTGTGATACTCGGGAAGAGTCAAGTTTTTGGCTCCGTTGCCGGGGAAATTCGGTCCTTTATCTTGAAAAGGTTGTTTGGTGTTAATCTAGCTTTTAATTTTCAGTTTTTAAAGTGTGAGCGCTTTGCTTGTGCTAGACTTGGTGTTGTTCTCTAAGTGTGTGTAGGGCAGGGGCGGATACATGGGCCTCTAAGGGTGTCCCGGGACACCCCTAAAATTTGGGGAAACGATTATCCAACCTCCGGTTGTAGTTTCGTATGGGTATACAAAATATAATTGGTAATCCAGGACACCCTAACATTTGAAAAAATGATTATCCTACCCTCGATAATAGTTTGTTTATGATTAACAAAATATAAGTGGTAGTCCGTGTTATTCCAACCTAGGACACTACTATTATCAAACATATTCTAATTATGTTGCTACTCATTTGTTATTCTATTTTAAACATCATGCAACAGTAAACCACTATTTCTTTATCCCCAACTAGTTTCAATACCTAATAATTAAACTACGTACACGCTATGGTTACACGGCAAGTGTTGAAAGAGTCTTGTCTACTTTGAGCTACATTAAGAACAAGGTTAGAAATCGAATATGTGATAAGTTCGTGAAGTATTGTCTATTAGGATATGTAGATTTTTTTTGAACAGTGCAGACACGGAGTTTATTTATATTGTTTTTTCAAAATATGAATTTTGATTTATTATTTAATAAAAAATTTATACAAATTATACAAGTATGATATTTTTAATATACGAATTATTTAATTGAATATATAATTAAATTTAATTTTTGAAGAGGACACCCCTGTGAAAATTTTCTGAATCCGCCACTGGTGTAGGGAGGTGTATGACCCGGAGCAATCCGACGCCTTTAATACCGCTGGACGAGAACATCAACTGAACTCTCTGACTCTTAGCACGGGAGAGGGAGTTAGCGGAAGAAAGGAGGAGAAGTGAAGAAAGGGGACAACAATTTGGTCCCAGAGTTAGTGGAGTAGAAGTTGAAGGAGTTGAAGGTGAACGTGATATTGGAGTTGAGATTGAGCAAGAAGGGGGAGCCGCCCACGTTCATAACCAAAACGATGTGGCGAAAAAGGAGGAAGCGCCAAGGATAATGGTTTATTACATGGCCCCATGGCCGGTGGACATCCAATCACCTATCTTACACCCACCCGTAGAGGCCAACAATTTCGAAATCAAGTCGTCCCTTGTGACTATGATTCAAAACAATTCTTTGTTCCACGAGCACACAAGCGAATCACCGAGGGAGCATGTGCAAAGGTTTCTTGAGCTCGCGGGGAGTTTGAAGATAAATTGCGTGCCAGTGGAAGCTTTGTAATTGAGGCTTTTCCCTTACTCACTTTTGGGGAAGACACTCCGATGGCTCAACAACCGACCGTATCGTTCAATCACCTTGTGGGATGATCTTCTCAACAAATTCATGACCCGCTATTGCCCTCCTTCGAAGAAGGCCGAGTGGAGAAAGAAGATCACTCATTTCGAGCAAGACGAGATGAGACCTTGAGAGATGCTTGGGAAAGATTTTTCTACTACTTCCTTCAATGCCCTCACCATGGATTCGACAAGCAGTTTCAGATAGAAACTTTCTATGGTGGTCTTATACATGAAGACAATATTCTCATACACTCTCTTTGCCGAGGGAGGTTGATGAATATGACCCCACCTCAAGTGACCAAGTTGCTCGAAGATATGGCTCTTAAAGGATATGATTGGGGCTTGACGACAAGTGGGAAGAGAAGCAATGAAAGAGGAGTGCGAAGTGTGGGAGCAAGTGCGTTAATTAATGTTAATGAGGGGACCTTCTGAGGGATGGTGAGGAGAGGATCACTCTTGAAATTGAACCTAAGGCTAGAAATGAGGATGTGAAGGAATTGGTATCGGATGACTTGAATGTGAGTGGAGGAGAGCCTCTCAAGGCGAACCCCGCTATTACTTGTGTTGCTTGTGGTGATTTTAAGAAGGAAGTTAAGGATGGTATAGAGCCCAAATAAAGGAAGAAGAAAGCTTGGAGGGAAAAGATGAAGCAAGCTTAGGCCCGAAGGAAGGAAAAGGTCAAAGCTAAGGTCGTCGGCCAAGAAGGCCACCCCATGGAGCTTAAGTTGGGAGGCTACATGCCTCGCCCCGAGAGCGTGGTGGATCCACTCTCAATGGAATCACGTTCCAAGACGTGATTAATCCTCAACCATCAAGCTAATAACGATAACTTAGCGCTTGTTGGGAGGCAACCCAACGGAGGTTTGTTTTCTTTTCCTTATTTTTGTTTTTTGTGTCAAGTGAAGAGTTCAAGTGGCCGAGTGGTATCCCCGTGCCAATTTTTGTGAATGTTAGGAGGCACGGTGGAGTAGGTCGAGTCAAATTTTTTTCAAAAGTGCCCTGTTTTCACTTGAGTTCATGGACTCATTGTCGAGTTCACGGTCGTATAAGACTGTGAACAAGAAAACGCGTCCGTGAACCAGGCACTTGTACATGCATAACACCTTTCGACCACTCCCAGTTCACGGACGGATTGCAGAGTTCAGGTCTCTAAGACCGTGAACAGGAAAACGCAACCGTAAACGTCGAGCTTCGCCTATAAAAGGAGCGTGCACGGTGACTCTTCAATTCACAACCCAAAACTCGCCGGAAAATTCAAATATTGCATGAAAACCGCGAAAATTCGACGGTTTTCCTCATTTCACCCATTTCCGGCAAGCCGAACTTAAAACCAAGTGCATACCCATTCTCCCCTCATCAAAACTAGCATGTGCTGAAATTTTGGGGAGATTTGGAATATTTTTTCTACGGCAAAGTCGCCGGCGGCGAGTCTCGACGCGCTTCCGACGAAGCTCCGGCGACCCTTCCTCGCCTCACCTCACTTCCTCATATGTTATACTTGAGTCTCCATGTTGGTTTTCAGCTCTACCTCCTTTATTTTGGGAGAATCGGATTAGGTAGAGAAGTGAGGAGAATTTTAATGATTTGATTGTTGAATCTCGAATTATAGTGAGGAATTAGGTGAATTAGGATGATTGAATGGCAGAATGATGTTGCCAGAGACTAGTTGAGCCTTGGTGGGCATGTTTGATTCGAATTGCTTTTATTTGTATAATTTGCCCACTAAGTGCTATTCTGTGAATGAATGTTGAGTTTTTGTGATTGAATGGTGGATGGTAGCCACCGTGGCATGGGTTGGGGTTCAAATTTTTGTGTGGATGAACCGTGAAATACCCACAACCATGCCATGGTGTGTTTGAGCTTAAATGTTTGAAATCCGTAGTGGAAATATAAGTGTGGAAGAATTTCTTTTCCTCCCAATGAGTTGTGATTAAAGATTTTTTCCACGTATGGTGCATGTTTGTCGATTATGCAAGATGCTTAACCTAGAGCACGAGTACATCAGCTACCTGGTGCACCATTGATGACTCGATATTTGCACATGTTTTACCTTGGCTTCTTGATCGTTTAAGCTTGCATTATCGCTTCTTTGGACTATTTTACAACAGGTTGTGTTCCTTTGTTACATCTCAGGTCCTAGCACATAGAGCGAAGCATAGGTGCAAGTTTCAAGTCAATCGGAGATCAATTGGCAACTTGGGGGGACGACACTTAGCATGACCTGAAGAAGAATGGATTTCTACCTCAGTTTGTGACCATAGAATCATGTAAGCTTTTCATGAGAAGAAAGAGGACGAGACTACAAGCGTCTAGGATCAAACGACATCTGATTTGGAGTTCGAACGAGGGAGAAACGAAAAAATCAAAGATAGGGGAACCGAAACTGCAAAATACCCGACCAAAATACCTGATCGGGTATTTTGACCATCTGATAGGGTATTTTTGGCAGCATCACAAGGCCCCCTGGTCATGAACCAAAAATACCCGGCCGTATATTTCTCCATTTGCCCAAAAAAGTGACCCGGAGCATTTTGTTGATACCCGACCGGGTATTTTGATCGGGTTTCGCGAACGCAGGCTGTTAAAAGCCTGTTTTGTGCATTTTTGGAGGGGGAGAGCTAGGTTTTGGATCCTAAACACTCAAGGGACGAACCAAAGAGAGAGGGAGATTTAAGGGGAAACTTGGGGTGGAATTTGGGGATTTCTTCACCTTGGAAGCTTGAGGAATAAGCCCGGACTTGAAGACTCATCATCTAAAGATTCTTATTGTAGTCTCTCTCTTCTCCATGGAGTAACTTCCCATCACTTAGGTATTGAGGAACCCTAATCATGTTTGTTTGATTGGATGATTGTATGAGTACTCTTACTTGATAATCCTGAGTTCATATTCAATCTATGCATGTTTTCATGATTCAATTCAGCTTTAGTCGATATTATTGATTCTGCTTTGATCCTCTGAGAGCGAATACCAGATTAGGTCAATAGAGCCCTATAGATTGATAGTATTAGATCGAATGCTTTAGTCGAGGGTTGATTCAATGCTTTATATCGATTGAGAACCTAATTTGATAGAGGGAATCTAGTTCAGAATGCCTTGATCGGTTGTTCTAGAGAAGGATACGTCCCTCTAGGCAATTGACTCAAGAGGGCCTTGTTCCTTTAGTCGAGACTCAAGGTCTAGTCAAGGATTCCCCGCATTGTGAATGAACGTGAAACAGGTTAGAGATCATCAATCATTAATCTGGCTAGCGGCTAGGGGGAATCATACCTAAGTGAGTTCCAAACCTGTAATTAGATTAACTTTAAATGTAGTTTGCTAGAGTAGTTTTAGTTATTCCATCATAATCTGGTTTGCTAGATAAAGAACTGAAGCTGAGTAATAGTAACTCTAGAGACCCGTGGATTCGATATTTATTACTTGAGCCACTATACTGCAGTCCCTTTCATTGGTTACACTTGGCCATTGTTAGGCGTTGTGTCATAGCGAGTCAAGTTTTTGGCGCCGTTGCAGGGGATTTTCTAGATTATTAGGAAAGGCAGAAGTTTGTTACTTTAGCATTTTTCTTTTCCAGCCTTGCTTTTCACTTGGGTGTTTTTGTTTTTGTTGGTGCAGATCTGAATCATGGATCCTCATGGCTTCTCCAACCATTGGGGGTATCCACCACCGTCCGAGTGGTATTACCCCCAGACTTCCTGTAGAAATCAAGGAGGAGAAGACTATGGATTCGGGTTCACTTACCATACCCCTTATTACGGAGAACAATCAGACCCCTGGGCATATCAAGAACAACCTCCTTATCAAGAAGAATTTCTCCCACAACCAGAAGGGCCATCGGAGCTAGAGTTAGCCATGGCGGCCTTCACGGGCCATTCTGCAGAGCCATGCTACACTCCACGGCCGGATCCAAACTATGAATTGAGGCTTCTCGTGGAGTAGTTTGCTCGAGACACTGAGAGATCATACTCTAAGATGGATCTTTGTACCCAGGCCTATTGTGAAACAAAGGAGATCCTCTTGAGCATTAAGAAGAGACTCGAGGATCTTACGGCATCTTACACACAACCTAATCAAGATTACCCTTCTGGTGCCATACTATAAGAGGAGGAGGAAGACGAAGGCTACAAAGACATTGTGGAACAGACAGAAGTTGTCACGGAGAGCACCCGTGATGATCATGATTAGGAATCTCTTGTTGTAGCAGACCACACCTTCCCACATCCCACACCGAGCTTGGAAGAGGCGGGTATGAGTGATGAGATGCAAGATGATCTCATTAAAGAAATTGCTTGGCGAATTGCTCCAATCAGTGCAGGAAGAAGAAGTGCAAGAAAGGGTGCAGAAAGAAGTTGTGGAGGATGACGAAAGTGAAGCAGAAGGTGTTCTTGATCTTTTCCCAGGGGTGATACTACATTTTGAAGAAGGAATGAGGGTTGGAGAAACAATTGGAGTCTATGCTGAGGATGAAGTTGAGGTGGAAGAGTCTTGCAGCGGGCATGAGTTTGGCCATATCGACATCGGTCCCTCTTGGTGGACGCGATGGTGGCCAATCGATGTTGTCATATCTAGTTTGGGGCAATGAGACAAGAGAAGATAACATGAGGTCTCGAGGGTGGAAACGTCATCTGCATCAAGTGAGTGAGCCTTCATCACCTGCCACACCACATGCTCGTGACTTGAGATTCCACCTCATTGACGAGAATATCAACTTCAAAGAGATTTTGGACATCTCTTCATCTGCAAAGAATTCTCGATGTGAAAACACAGAGACAAAGGGCTGATCTTTGAATAGGAAAATTTCACATAGACGTAGTGACTCCATTAAGGCTCTCGTCGTATATGCGTTATCACCTTTCTCTCCTTCTTGTTCTAATTCAAATGCGAGCAACTTCGTTCCTCTTTTCTAATTAAAACTCTTGATTAATACATAATTGATCGAACACTACTTGAAAAAGAAAATGGCTGGGCCAGTTCATTGATACAAACAATATCCAAATACCAAACCCGTCCTTTATATAATCTTTGGGAAAGAAGAATTTTCTCTTTTTAATTACATTATAATTAGAATTATATTCTAAATGGCTAGAACACAACTTTCTTATGTGTCCTGAACTGGCTGCTGCTTGTGAAGTATGGAAGGAGATTCAATTTGAATACGAAGCAGGCACATTTCGTAGCTATCATCGTCGCGTCCGTCAAATTCAGGCGGGTGAACCGAAACTTAGGAGTCATCGTCCGGCTCACGACGTGAAAGAAGCGCTTGTTGGGAGGCAACCCAACCAGTCGATTTGCATATCTTTCTCTATTTCTCCTCGGTTGAGTCAGTTTTGTTCTTTGATTTTAGAGTCAATAACTCAACCTTTGTGATATTTTGTGTGGTGTTTGTGTTCCGACTACTCTCTCCTCCTGGAACGCACCGCCTTCCTCGTCCACCATCATTCACACTTGATCTGGTAACTTCGTTCTACCCTCCTTATATTTCCTCCATTGAGGACAATGTCGTGCTTAAGTGTGGGGGGATGTTCGATTATGTATGTGTGTGAATGTTTGGTTGTATGTGTGTGCTTGGAGCCTAGTCCACTGTCCAAATTTTTCAATTTGAGGACTCCAAGTATGTGTCCCTGTAATTTCCTGCTCAGTATGCTTGAATTGACAGTCTTTATAGTAATATGCAACCTAGGGAGGTAGTGTATCACTATGGAGGATGTTGATGTATTTAAGAAGTCTCCTTTCTTCTTCATACTATGTCGGTTGATTGTGTGAATTAGTGATTTTAGGACCCTTGAAATGTGTGGTATTGTGGACTCTCTACATGTCATGGACTCTTGTCTCATGTTTTAAAAAAAAGGTACTCTAAAGTGTGCTTTAAAATAACGTTTCCCGTGCGAAAAGGGTGTAGGTTTGTAAGGGAAGACGGGAATCTGTTCCCAATTTCCACCTACTACCTCCAGCCCACCTACATTTCTTTCCCCTGCACGAGGCTCGAGATATCCGCTCTCGACATGGCCGGTAAGAGCTGCTCCCGGCTCCTTCAAAACCTTTGCTAGGTGGGAGCCCCGTTTTCTGAAATAACAAGTTGGGAGTCTTGAAAAAAAAAAACAACAACAACAAAACAAAGAGATTAAAAAAGGGTTCTAACCATCTTCAAGAAGAAAATAGAGCACCTTAAAATCGTGAGTCCATGATCTTTTTGATTTTGAGAGTCCCTTCGTCCACAATTCATTTGTTCTCTGGTCACTATTTGTCATGATGCTGACTCGAGACTAGCGTTCTCGCTGAAGAAGTTAGGAGATGACTTATTTGTCGGTTGACCTCGTAAGCTGCTAAATGATCTAGGAAATCCTCAACCGATGATCGAGGGTGCATGTTGCTACAGAGGTCTGGAGAGCTGCATTGGTCACATCTCAGGTCCTAGCACATAAAGTGAAGCATAAGCGCAAGTTTCAAGCAATCGGAGATCAATTGGCAACTCGGGGGACAAAACTTGGGCAAGACCTGAATAAGAATAGATTTCTACCTCAGTTTGTGACCATATAATCATGTAAGCTTGTCATTATAAGAATTAGTACGAGACTCCGAGCGTCTGGGATCAAACGCCACCTGATTTGGAGTTCGAACAAGGGAGAAAAGAAGAATCAAAGATAGGGGACCGGAAACTGCAAAATACCCGACCGGGTATTTTGACCATCTGATAGGGTATTTTTGGCAGCATCAAAAGGCCCCCCCCCCCCCCCCCCCCCCGGCCGTGAACCACAAATACCCCGATTGGGTATTTCTCCTTTTGCCTAGAAAAGTGACCCGGAGCATTTTGTTGATACCTGACCGGAGACCGGTTACCTAAATACCCGACCGAGTATTTGGATCGGGTTTCGTGAACGCAGGTTGTTAAAAGCCTGTTTTGAGCGTTTTTTGAGGAATAGAGCTGGATTTTGGATCCCAAACACCCAAGGGAGGAACCAAAGAATGAGAGGCCGATTTGAGGGCAATCTTGGAGTGGAATTGGGGGATTTCTTCGCCTTGGAAGCTCGAGGAACAAGCCCGGACTTGAAGACTGATCATCTAAATACTCTTACTGCAGTCTCTCTCTTCTCTATGGAGTAACTTCCCTTCACTTAGGTTTTGAGGAATCCTAGCCATGTTTGTTTGATTGGATGATTGTATGAGTACTCTTACTTGATAATCTTGAGTTCATATTAAATATATGCATGTTTTCATGATTCGATTCTGCTTAAGTCAAGATTATTGATTCTGCTTTGATCCTATGAGAGCGAATACATGATTAGGTCAATAGAGCGTCATAGATTGATAGTATTGGATCGATTGCTTTAGTCGAGGGTTGATTCAATGCTTTGTATCGATTGAGAACCTAATTCGATAGAGGGAGTCTAGTTCAGAACGCCTTGATCGGTTATTCTAGAGAAGAATACGTCCCTCTAGGCTATTGACTCAAGAGGGCGTTGTTCCTTTAGTCGAGAATCAAGGTCTAGTCAAGGATTCTCCGCATTGTGAATGAAAGTTGAAAGTGAAACAGGTTAGAGATCATCAATCGTTAATATGGCTAGCGGCTAGGGTGAATCATACCTAAGTGAGTTCCAAACCTGTAATTAGATTAACTTTAACTGTAGTTTGCTAGAGTAGTTTTAGTTCTTCCATCTTAATCTGGTTTGCTAGATAATGAACAAAAGTTAAGTAATAGTAACTCTAGAGACCCGTGGATTCGGTATTTTTTACTTGAGCCACTATACTGCAGTCCCTTTCATTGGTTACACTTGGCCATTGTTAGGAGTTCTGTTATAGCGAATCAAGTTTTTGGCGCCGTTGCCGGGGGCTTTCTAGATTATTAGGAAAGACAGAAGTTTGTTACCTTAGCATTTTTCTTTTCCACCCTAGCTGGTGCAGATCTGAATCATGGATCCTCATGGCTTATCCAACCATTGGGGGTATCCACCACCATCCGAGTGGTATTACCCCGATACTTCCTGGAGCGATCAAGGAGGAGAAGACTATGGATTCGGGTTCCAGTACCAACCCCCTTACTACGGAGAACAATCAGAACCATGGGCATATCAACAACAACCTCCTTATCAAGAAGAATTTCTCCCACAACCAGAAGGCCCATCGGAGCTGGAGTTAGCCATGACGGCCTTCACGGGCCATTCTGCAGAGCCATGCTACACTCCACCGCCAGATCCAAACTATGAATTGAAGGATTTCATGGCGTAGTTTGCTCGAGACATTGAGAGATCATACTCCAAGATGGATCTTTGTACCCAGGCCTATCGTGAAACAGAGGAGATCCTCCTGAGCATTAAGAAGAGCCTCATGGATCTTAAGAAATCTTACGCACAACCTAATCAAGATTACCCTTCTGCTACTGACTCACTTCTACTGTCACTCTAGGAATTAGCCAAGTGAAACCACTTCCTAAAGTGTAGTATAGCGGGTTTGGGTTTTAATGTCAACCCGGGTCCTAGATTTGATGACTACTTAGTGAATTCTTGTTATCTAGCAATGAAACTTTAATGCAAGTCTAAACTAACAAACTAACAAAGCAAGTAAACGGTTGTATTCAGGTTAAGAGAGGTCACCCAGATATGGTTCCCCCTAGACTGCAGTTAAGCCGGATTGTAATTACCAAGTTCAGTTTCTATGATAGTTATACTGTGGAAGGTTCTTAAACAGCCTGAAGTCTCGACTAAAGGTCTTCATACCCTCTCAATCTGAATCTCTAGCGGGCGACTAACCTCCACCGGAGTAAACAGATTGAGGCCTTAACAAACAAAACCTCCACTACCGAAGTGAATCCGGTACAGAATAGTGAGTTGGCTCCTCGACTAAAGTCACCAAATCCCTACCTTCAATCAAGGATGCTCTATCAACCTAGGCAGATATTCTCATTCTAGGTTAAAGCAGAAACAACAGGAATTTGATCAGGATTCATGCCATTTAATCATTCAAACCTCAATTGAATATAATCAAATCATAGAATCAATACTTGGGTTCATACAATCAAAACCTAACATACAAATCTAGGGTTCTCCATACCCAGATGAATGGGAGAACTACTCCATGGAGAAAGAAGCAAAAGCATAATCAGACGCGGAATTCATACTATGAAGGATGGATTCCTGCTCCTGGACGTTGATTGGCACTCCTCCAAGCTCAAGCCAAGCTCCAATGGTGATGAAGATCAAGCTAGGGCACTTGGAGACTCTTGTTCGTTGCTTTCTCTCTCTAGGAACAGATCTCTCTCTCTAAAACTCGAATCCCTTGATTTTCAGCCCTCTTTTCCCTTAAAACAGCTGCCTGTCGCGATACCCGGTCGGGTATTTTGGGTCTCGACCGGGTATTATCAAAACGCACGTTTCATGCCAGGGGAAAATCCCCGGTCTGCTCCAATAATCCCCGGTCGGGGATTTAAGCTTCACGACCGGGCCCCCCTCTGTTTCTCACGGGTGCCCAAAATGATAAATACCCGGTCGGGTATTTTGCCACATGACCGGGTATTTTCCTCCTGCAGCCCACTTCTTCCCAACTTTGCTCCTTTCGACCTAGAACTCGTTCCCTCGCCTCGATTCCAACGCCGGGTCCTGAAATATGACATAAACACACAACCTCACGTGAAATCGGCTTAAACACGAGAGTCAACCTCTCAAACGGCTCAAGAATAGGGGTAAAAACATGTGTAATTATTGGTCTATCAGTGGCCAAAGCACGGTCGAGGGCACGGTCGTGCTTTGCCTCAGCCCGCCCGTGTTTTGGCTAGGGTTAATTACACGGCCAGTGCGTTGGGGGAAACACGGCCGTGCTTTTGGGAGGACACGGCCGTGCTTTGGTGGACCCGGCCGTGCTTTCAGCCCGTGTTTGCAGCTTGAATTTGCCAAACTCAATTAGCTCTCGGCAGTAAAAGCACGGCCACAGAACTCGGCCGTGTTCTGTTTTAGGTGTGCCCGTGTTTTGGCTCCAGCTCGACGAAATGACTTCCGAATGTCCCAAAACTCGTGCTTAGCCTTTCCTTTGACGCCTGGAACCTGAAATATGAAAAAATAGCACAACCCGGCGTAAAATAGGCCAAAAATATACGACTATGCCCCTCAAACGGATAAGAACTAGGGGCGCAAATATGTGCAATTACATCGTTATCAAATTCCCCCACACTTAACCGTTTGCTTGTCCCCAAGCAAACCTAACTCAAACAAATGCAACTCTCCAGACCTCTATAGCAACAAACAACCCAGATCGTAGGTAGACGACTTTCTAGATCATTTAGCATCTTACGAGGTCAACCGACGCACAAGTCATCTCATAGCTTCTTCGGCGAGAACGCTAGTCTCGAGTCGGCATCATGGCAAATAGTGAACAGAGGACAAATGAATCGTGGATGAAGAGATTCTCAAAAACAAAGGATCATGGACTCACATTTTTCAAGGTGCTCTATTTTCTTCTTGAAGATGGTTGGAACCCCTTTTTTTCTATTTTGCTTGTTTTCTGTTATTTTTTTTTTCAAGGGTCCCAACCTGCTTTTCAGAAAATGGGGCTCCCACCTAGCAGAGGTTTTGCGGGAGCCCGGCTCTTACCGGCCATGCCAGGAGCGGGTGTCTCGAGCCTCGTGCGGGGGAAAGACATGTAAGGGGGCTGGAGGTAGTAGGTGGAAATTGGGAACGGATTCCCGTCTCCCCTTACACACTTTCGCCCTATTCGCACGGGAGACGTTATTTTGAAGCACATTTTCAAGCACCTGTTAAACTCAAAACAAGAAACAAGAGTCCATGACAGGTAGAGAGTCCACAACACCACACAATTCAAGGGTCCTAAGATCACTAATTCACTCAATCAACCAACACAATATGAAGAAGAAATGAGACTTCTTAAATGCATCAACATCCTCCATAGTGCTACACTACCTCCCTAGGTTGCATACTATTATAGAGACTGTCAATTCAAAGCATACTGAGTAGGCAATTGCAAGGAACACGTACTTGGAGCCCTCAAATTTAAAAATTTGGACAGTGGACTAGGCTCCAAGCACACAAACAGATCTAATGCAGTCAAAAGATAAACACCCCCCACACTTAAGATCGACATTGCCCTCAATGGAGAAGAGGGAAGGAAAAGGGGAACGATGTTACCGGTATGCTCGGACTGCAGGAGACTGGAAGCGGACCAGTCGAGTGAAGCGGACTGGAGAGGGACCAGTCTGGAACAAAGCACAGCTAAAGGGGGACAGAAGAGCTCAAACACAATATGTTAGGTCCAATGTCACCCCAATAAGACATCATCCAAAACAAAAGAAAACAAACCAAAACCAAACTAGTTTACAATCCGACTCAAAACACAAGAAAGAAAGTCAAACCGTGGTGGGGTTGCCTCCCCACAAGGGCTTCTTTACCGTCTTTTAGCTGGACGCCAATTGCGGAACTAAGGGTCCGCGAGCTCCACTGCCAACTCCGCACGTTTGACCTCGTCTCCCAGGTAGAGCTTGAGACGATGGCCATTCACTTTAAATGGCTCAGTTTGCGGGTTGGCAATTTCAATTGTGCCATACAGGAACACCTGTGTGACCGTGTATGGTCCAGACCACCGGGAACGGAGTTTTCCGGCAAAGAGCTTCAGGCTAGAGTTATAAAGGAGAACTCGATCACCAACCTGGAACTCTTTCGGAATTAGCCAAGTGAAACCACTTCCTAAAGCGTAGTATAGCGGGTTTGGGTTTTAATGTCAACCCGGGTCCTAGATTTGATGACTACTCAGTGAATTCTTGTTATCTAGCAATGAAACTTTAATGCAAGTCTAAACTAACAAACTAGCAAAGCAAGTAAACGGTTGTATTCAGGTTAAGAGAGGTCACCCGGATATGGTTTCTCCCTAGACTACAGTTAAGCCGGATTGTAATTACCAAGTTCAGTTTCTATGATAGTTATACTACGGAAGGTTCTTAAACAGCCTGAAGTCTCGACTAAAGGTCTTCAGACCCTCTCAATCTGAATCTCTAGCGGGCGACTAACCTCCACCAGAGTAAACAGATTGAGGCCTTAACAAACCAAACCTCCACTACCGAAGTGAATCCGGTACAGAATAGTGAGTTGGCTCCTCGACTAAAGTCACCAACTCCCTACCTTCAATCAAGGATGCTCTATCAACCTAGGCAGATATTCTCATTCTAGGTTAAAGCAGAAACAACAGGAATTTGATCAGGATTCATGCCATTCAATCATTCAAACCTCAATTGAATATAATCAAATCATAGAATCAGTACTTGGGTTCATACAATCAAAACCTAACATACAAATCTAGGGTTCTCCATACCCAGATGAATGGGAGAACTACTCCATGGAGAAAGAAGCAAAAGCAGAATCAGACGCGGAATTCATACTGTGAAGGATGGATTCTTGCTCCTGGACGTTGATTGGCACTCCTCCAAGCTCAAGCCAAGCTCCAATGGTGATGAAGATCAAGCTAGGGCACTTGGAGACTCTTGTTCGTCGCTTTCTCTCTCTAGGAATCGCTCTATCTCTCTCAAAACTCCAATCCCCATCTGTTTTGGCGGAAATCTGCTTAAAAGGGCATCAGTGGCCAAAGCACGGTCGAGGGCACGGCCGTGCTTTGCCTCAGCCCGCCCGTGCTTTGGTTAGGGTTAATTACACGGCCATTGTGTTGGGAGAAACACGGTCGTTCTTTTGGGAGGACACTACCGTGCTTTGGTGGACACGGCCGTGCTTTCAGCCCGTGTTTGCAGCTTGAATTTGCCAAACTCAATTAGCTCTCGGCAGTAAAAGCACGGCCACAGAACACGGCCGTGTTCTGTTTTAGGTGTGCCCGTGTTTTGGCTCCAGCTCGACGAAATGACTTCCGAATGTCCCGAAACTCGTGCTTAGCCTTTCCTTTGACGCCTGGGACCTGAAATATGACAAAATAGCACAACCCGGCGTAAAATAGGCAAAAAATACACGACTATGCCCCTCAAGCGGATAAGAACTAGGGGCGCAAATATGTGCAATTACATCGTTATCAGCTACCATACTAGAAGAGGAGGAGGAAGACGAAGGCTACAAAGACATTGTGGAGCAGACCGAAGTTGTCACGGAGAGCTCTTGTGCTGATCATGATTAGGAATCTCCTGTTGTAGCTGTCCACACCTTCCCACATCCCACACCGAGCTTGGAAGAGGCGGGTATGAGTGATGAGATGCAAGATGATCTCATCAAAGAAATTGCTTTGCGACTTGCTCTCCAATCCGTGCAGGAAGAAGAAGAGCAAGAAAGGGTGCAGAAAGAAGTTGTGGAGGATGACGAAAGTGAAGCAGAAGGTGTTTTGATCTTTTCCCAGGGGTGATACTACATTTTGAAGAAGGAATCGGGGTTGGAGAAACAATTGGAGTCTAAGCTGAGGATGAAAAGAGTCTTCGAACGGGCATGAGTTACATGTGATATCTCCACCAAACTTCGAGGAACTGCTTTGCAAAGAACCATTTGTAGTGTCTCATTGCCAGACTAAGGCCATATCGACATCGGTCCCTCTTGGTGGACGCGA